AGGCATGGGGTGTGCCCAGGCCTCTCCGCAGTTACCAAGATCACCTTCCTGTGCCTGGTTTGCTGGTGCTTAGACCTCCCCCTCCCCCAACAGGGGGCGTAAGGCCGAAGTGTGGGAAAGTGAGGATGGGGGAGGCCGGGCACAGCAGGGCCATCCCCAGGCTCCGAGCTCCGAAAAGGCGCTCGTGTTTGAGCTACCTGGGAAAGTAAACAGGTAAACACTGGGCCGCCTTGGAGGGCCACTTGTCCTCGAGTGGGAACACTTAGCCTGTGTACATTCACCCCCAACCCCAACCCCGGGGCCTCCGCCGATTGTTCGCCCCCGCCGCCCTCTGCAGCCGCCAGCGGTTGGGTCTCTTGGGAGCCCTGAGCCTCCGAGAACAGCTTCGCGGCCTGAGAAGCCCCCCAAAGGAGAAAGACTCTCTGCCTCCCCTCCTCCACCTCCCCTCGGGGCCTGCAATGCCCCATCCTCAACGTGGGAAGAAGGAATACAGAGCTCGGGAGGTGTAAGGAACATGGAGCCCCATCGCTGAAAACAAAGACCAGGGCCAGAGGACCTCGGGCCGCTCAGGTGGCCCTGGCAGGGGTCCTAGGTGGAGTTCGTGCATCAAAGAGAGCCAAGCCTGTCTCCCTCTGGCCTAGAACATTCTGTGATCAAACTTCCAGCGCCCGTCTCAACTTCGTCCCCAAGTGTGCAAGCAGACACGCTCAGGGCAGAGCGCTGGCAGCTCTCCGAATGCCAGCCCTGATGCAGCGCGGGACAGCGTCTTCTCCCTGCAGAGGGAACCGGGGGAGAATTTACTGAAGAATTCGAGTTGGGAGACTAGAGCATATCCATAGCCCGCCAGCCAGGCCCCTAGGCATGGGGTGTGCCCAGGACGCCCCGCAATTACCAAAATCTCCTTCCTGCAGAGCAAGAGGACACCATGTTCAGAAACGACGGGGTGGGGTGGCGGAGACTGTGGTTGGGGGCTGGGCGCACGCCGGGCCCTCGCAGTACTGGAAGGCCCCGGCTCTAAAAGGCCGGGATGCGGTGCCAAAGGAGACCTCCTGGGGAGCCCCAAGGTGCCATCACCTGGTTAATTGGGGTGGAAAGGTGCGTTTGTGTCTGGCCCCCACTCTTCCGGCCACAGGGAATCTGGGAAACCCTGGAGCGTGTTCTGGGCACCGGACCTGCCCTCAGCCGCCAGCTGGTCCCGCACAGGCCTACAGGCGTCCACAGCCTACTCCTGGGGGACTTGCATTTTATGATCTTCCGCTAACAAGCCGAGTTTCTCCCCTTCAATTATGGGCCTCCCAGGGGTGTCCCTGTGCCATTTCCATTGCAAATGACAGTGCTTTTGGAAGCGGGCGCGGGAACCACCCGGGCGACCAAGAGACCGGGAACATGGACTCGCCGGGTCCCAGGAGAGAGACAATGAGCGCAGGGGCTCCGGCAGAGCGTGGCGTCTGCAGGCGAGGCGCAGCTACCTCCAGCTCCCGGCCGGCCGGTGGCCCCAGAGCCTGGGAAGGAAACAAAGCTATGGCACCGGCTGAGTAAGGGCAGAGCAGGGAGTGGAGACCCCGGCGACGGCCTGTGTGGGCCAGGAAGGGTGGCCATGCAGGTGCTCCTGGAAGGGGGCGGGGCGACCCCGCGTGGGAGGCCTCGGATAGGTTGAGGTCAAGGGGTAGGCGGCGTGAGGAGCAGGGCCGTGGGTGAACTGGGCTGGGGACAGCACTCCCCCCCCCCCCCCAATCAAGTCCCCTGAGCCAGGATTCCCCGAGCGACGGTTGTCTCTCAGGGGCTCTGAGGTACCAGTCCTTAAGGGAGGAGACTTGATCAAGAGTGGCCGTGCTGATCAGATCCAAGGAGAAAGGCCCACCATGTTGGGGGAAGGGAGGGAGAAGTTGTAAACTAAAGAGAAAGAGGTGGTTTCGAGGTGAAGAAATGAGCAGGCTCCCTGGAAGGCGTGGGGGGGGGGGGCTCCTCTCCCCCCAATGATGACTCATGGGACATGCAGAAAGGGACACTTCTCGCCAAAGGCCATTTTCCACCCAATTCAAGAATTGGCCTGGCCCTGGCCCTTCCCCAGTACCTGTCCTGATGCTTGAGCGACAACCCACCCTTTCTCCCACGTGCAGAGGAGGATGAGGAGGGACCACAGGAGAATTTCCTGCAGGGCCTGGACTGGGGAACTTTTTCTGGCCAGTTATTTATTCAGCAGCTGAGTAACAATGGCTGGGGCAGGCCCACCCACCCCTGCGTTCCCCCCCCCCTTTCCAAACTCTCCCCCGCCACTCACTCCTGCAGGACCAACTTCTCTCCTCCCACGTGAAAGGGGGAGGGGGAGGCAAGGAGGAAGGAGGCTAAGAAAGGCAGACTGGAGAAAGAAAAAAAAAACACGATAAGTAATGGGTTCGAGGAACACGATTCAAACCAGTTCTAATTCTTGCGGGGGGGGGGATGAAGGAGGAGTGAACGGAGAAAAGAAAAAGTAGGAAGAGAAAGAGAGAAAAATGGGGAGCGTCGACATGAAGGGGTTTCCTTAATATTGTGGACGGATTCAGAAATGAATGAAGAGATAGTCCATTGAAAAGGGTTGAATGCCATGACAACTAGGAACAACCTTAGATTTATTCCAAACAGTTAGGACACATTGAAAGAGAGCGTCAATCATGTATTATTTCGCCACTGAAATAAATGCAAAAACCGAGCCGGGACAAAGGCTTCCAACGGGAGCGGGACATTTGTCTACATTTCGCTCATTGTCCGCAGCTTAGCAATCGGTTTGTATTTGTGTTTGCCCGGGTCCGACCACCCAGGACGCGCCGGCGAGGAGCTCCCTCTAACCTGGGCCATTGTCACCCACGTCACATACTGGAGGCCAGGCAGCGAGGGCTGCAGAAGGCCGCCGAGCGGCTCCGGGAGAGATGCCCTCGCCCGGCGCTGGCAACCCGGGGGCGACAGGGGCGCAGAGGCGACCGCAGCTGCACGCGAGAAGGACGCGGCGCCCGCGCGCGCAGTGGGGCCGGCGCTGCGGCGGCCTGGGCTCCGAGCGGATGGAGAGGCGAGACCAGGATTTCAGCGGGCGGCCTCGTCCAGCCCCACCAGCCCCCAGGCCAAGCACCACCCCTGAGCTCAGTAGGGGGCGGAGGTGGGAAAAGGTGGCAACCTCTCCACGCCCCCCCCCAAAAAAAAACCTGAGGGGAGGGCCAGGAAGTGCGGTGCCAGGAGAGGTGCTGTCCCGGGAAAGTTCTGTTCCCTGGATGGCGAGAGGTTGGGAACATAACCCACACCTAACGCAAGCTGGGAGCCTGGGTCTTGTCCTCGGAACGCGTCCCTGGGCGTCTAAAAGGGGACAAAATGAAAGGATTCACTTGGAAGAGGAAAACGCAGCATCATCCGCCCGCCCTGCGACCTCCACCCCCGCGGCTTTGGGGGTCCTCACCCGGGCAGAAGACAGCAACCCCGCCCCCGCCCCCACCCCCACCCCCACCCCCTTCCCGCTCTCCACCACCGCAGGAGTCTCCAGAGGGAGGGGCTAGAGAGAGTAACACATCAGGGGGCAGGAAGGTTTCGGGGCGGTCTGCCTTACCCTCCACCCGGAGCCAGAGGAACCCCGGAGGCCTCGGGGCCGGGGTTGGTACCCGGACTAAGTTAGAACTCCCCACCCCCACTCCGCCCCTCCTGGGGCCGCCCCCAAGCAGCAAGTGAACTGCGCAGCCACCCTCCGGCGCAAAGAGATGGAGGGGGAGGCGGAGTGAGGGAAATAAGTCTTTAGCAAATAAAGGGGGGCTGGGGCGGGGGGGCTGTCGTCTGGTGGTGACTTTGGCCGGCCCTAGCCGGTCTCTCTTCTGGGTTTCAGGCTCTTCCGTCGTTAACTGGAATCAATTAGTTGCCTTGTCATTTCTAGTACTCATCCTTAAGCCTCAACCAAAATATTGACCTAGGAGGCTTACAGAAGTTGGGCTCTTGCCATTTGAACCGGATCTTGTTGAGGGAGCCACCGGCGATGGGAAGGAGCGATTTCCTCGGCTCAGCAGTCGCCCCCTCCCCCTTCTCCAAAGGCGCCACAAATCGCCAATTTTCCGGCTTGCTGGGGGCCGGCGCGCGGGGGCGGGGAGATGGGAACCCGAGAATTTTAAGGAGGATTTTTTTCCCCCCATCCTCTCGGTTTGTTTTGTTTTCTCGCCTCCTCCCCCCGCTTTTTAAAAGATGCAATTTGTTAAAACGGCGCTTTCAAGTGTGTGGACTCGAGAGCGACAGCGGTGGTCCTTTGTATGTAAATACCGAGTTTTAAAAAAAGGCCTCGCCCCGTCTTTGCAATTAATTGACACGTTACACCTCTCATCTTGCTGTAGAGGGCCGCTGGCTGGGAGCGCGGAGCTCCCCAAAACCCACAATTTCAAATCTGCAAATACTGTCTTCATCCACTTGACTTCCAAGACCCGCCCACACGTGTCCAACCTTTGGGTTTTAATGTCTCCCCCCCCCTTTTTTTCCAACCCTTCTCTCGCTTCCTCCCTCGCTCCCCATCCCTCCCTCTCTATTTCCCTCCCTCTTTCTCTCCCCTCCCCCCCCCCTTTCCCCAGGTTCGCGAGTGGAGCCCAGCCTTATATGGACTGATCGCTCGGGCAATGGCCCATTTTTTCCTCGCCACCAGCCGCCACCGCGCGCCGAGCGGCCGCCGAAGCCTGAGCTGACGCCGCCTTGGCACCCCTCCTGGAGTTACAAACGAGGCCCCGCGCCCGGGCCGCCCAGCTCCCTGCATCCATTTCCGCGTCTTTGCAGAGAAGAGAGAGGCGCTGCCAGCGCTGGGCTTTATCCCCCCCTCCCCTTCCCCCATTGGTTTTTTTTCTTCTGGTTTTTTTTAAAATAATTATATCAATAATTAAAACCCATCCCTTCTCCCCTTCCCCATTCCCTTCCCCCACCACCCCCTCCCCGTCCCAACTGGGCAGCGCCAAGAATTGGCCAAGTGAAGCTACACCTTTGAGGCATACGGTCCGAGGTCCCGAGCCATGTCGCTGACCAACACAAAGACGGGGTTTTCGGTCAAGGACATCCTGGACCTGCCGGACACCAACGATGAAGAGAGCTCGGTGGCCGAGGAGCTCGGAGGAAGAGAGCGAGGGGTCCGAGCCGCCAAGAGGGCCGGTCCTCTGGGGCAGAGCGCCCTGGACTCGGTGCAGAAGCCTGACTCTGGAAGACCCCTTCTACAACGCAGCGACAACCCGTACAGTCGCTGGCTGGCCAGCACCAGGGCCTTCAGAATACCGTTAGTAAGCAAACTTGGCTGCCTGGGCGCGGCCGCCTCTATGCTTGGGGCCGCAACGCTGGAATCCTTGGGGAGAAAAGACAAAAAAGGCCTTTTG